GGCTCGGGGCGGGCGTGGGCCGGCCCAGGCTCTCCGTCCCTGCCCCTCTGTGATAGGCGAGCTCTCATGGGGCCGCCTTGCCACCAGGCTGCCAGCCGCTGCTCCCGGGGAACGAGGCCACATTTGGGGTCATGCCCCGGCGCCTGCTGTCGGCCGGATGGGAGCTCAGAAGTGGTGGCAACTACAATGAGGGGGAGTCGCGGTATTGACCCCAGGCCACCGTCCCCACCCTTCACATGGCCCAGAGTCCGTATGGGCAGGAAAGAGAAGATTGACGTCTTCACATTCACGAGATTTGAATTCAGCCCCAGCTGACCCCTTGATGGCAGCCCGCGAGCCGGAGAATCCAGCTGGGCTGTCACCAAATACCTGACACACAGTAGCAGTGAAATAATAAATGTCTCTTGTTTTAAGTTGCTAAGTTTTGGGGTCGTTTGTCACATGGCGACAGAGAACTAATACGAATCGGCTATGGTTTTCTTATTGGGCTTCCCCAAGACGCCACACAATGTGGATGTCTGCCGTGGATACCTCACAGGCCGTTAAAACTGCTGGGCCCACGTGGCAGGGAGCCTTGTGTGACAGCCTGGACCACCTCTGCGGAGCCGTTTATTATTCTGACTCCCCTGAAAATTTCAAACCTTATTGGCCGCCTCCCCCCTCCCTCCCCTCCCTTCCTTCTTCCCTCCTTACAGTCTCTCCTTTATTCCTTTTTTTCTCTTTTATATTTTATTTTTTGTCATTTTCTATCATTATTTTATTTTTCCTTTTTTAAGAAAGCTATTGCAAATCATGCTGCAAAGATAATCTTTATCTGTGCTCCCTTCCGCCGGAGGGTGAGCATTTATCTGGGGTAAGCCCGAGCCAGCGAATGCTGACGCGTAAAGTCTGTGGCTTCAACTTCACCGAACACCCGCCCCTTGCTCTCCAAATTGTGGCACAATGTGCACCTCTGTGTCTGACAGCTGCCGTCAGGGTCCGAGAAATGAGCAGGGCAGTTCTCCATCACCATGGGCATCACCATGGGCGTCACCCAGGTCTGGTGGCCCCACCGTCTCTGGCAAACATAACCCACCCCACAGAGCACTCTCTGGGCCCTGGGCCCTCCCTGGGTTCTGCACATCGAGTGGCCCCAACCCAGGATGGGCAGCCCCGGGGGGCGGGGCTGGGCTTGGCCAGGACGGAGGGAGACTCTGGCTGCTCTATCCTGACCCAGGCTCCCTGCCCAGAGGGGCTGCAGCACTTACCCCCCAGGTCCCCTAAGGAAAGTCAGTGCTTCTCCCAGGTGAGGTTCCCTTTCCTCGGAGCCTAATCTCTCACTGGGGAAAAAAATTCGTTCGTGCATTCGCTCATGCAGTCATTCTTCAGCGGATATGTGTTGAATAAGGCACCATCGCAGGTGCTGAGGCCTCCTGAGCGCGTGAGGTAGACAAAGCCCCTCATCACGGCCCTTCCCTTCCAGCCCGGGAGGGGCGGTGATCGATAAACACGGCGAGAGAGGGAATCGCTTCCTACATTTGAGGGTAATAAGAGCCCGGACAGAGACAGGCCCAGAGCGGGCAGGGGCCCCGGGCAGCTGGGGTGGAGGTGGCCCTCGCAGTGCAGTGTCCAGGGGAATCTCACTGGAGGTCGTGAGTGACTGACCCCACAGGAGCGGGAGAGGGACCCCTCTCGAGGGAAGAAAGTCTCCATTTCATCCGTTTCCACGTCTGCTCTTGAATGTACAACTTCATTCTTTAAAGGGAAAAGAAAAGGAAAGGGGGAAAAATGAATTTCGATAAATAAGTAACAATGCTCACTGGTTCCTGGAGCAGGATGGCGGTGCCAGCTGGACCGTGAGTCCCTCCGCGCGGGCCCCGAGTCCTCAGTGAAGGACCCAAGGGTGCGGCGCATACGAATCTGCCGTGGAGATGTCTAAGGAGACAACGTAACGGGGGAAAGGTGAAGTTTGGGGTTCAAGTTCCCTGGGGACGGGAGGGGGGCAGGCCTGCCATGCTCCTGCTCATATTGTCCGGGACTTGGATTCTCAGAATAGTTGAAAACGGCTACATGGCCACACGGGAAGGACGGGGCCAGGCAGGCGGATCCCCTCTGTTCCCTCTCCTCCCCGAGCTGTGTGGCAGGAACCCCGTGAGCCACTGTTCACACACCCGTGCCTCTCCTGGGCCATCTCTCGCCACGAATCACTTTCCAGTGAGTGTATTGTTGACACTCGCCGATACGCTGGGACCCGGACCAGGTCATGACCGAGGAGACCCCTCGCCGGGATGACTAGGACACACGGGCCCTCCTGTATCAGCAGCCTCGCGGTGTGCTCGCCCGTGCTTGGGAACCACCCCTTAATCAGTGGCGATTACTTGGCCTGGAGGACGGGAGACCCTCCTTAAGCAAATGTTATCTAACACTCTTTCAGCAAACAGAGGCCGGGCTTAAAGTCGAGGCCTCCGACAGATTCTCACCCCTGACTTGTGGTCTCCTGGGGAGCAGAGAGGAGCGTCATGGCCGCCATGGAGCCCAAGGTGGTCTGCGTCCTGCTCGTGGTCTTCTCGCTGGCCCTCAGCACCCTGGCCCAGGGCCAGATCGGTAAGACAACCTTCCCGCTCCACGCTGGGCGCACGGGCGCAGAGGGGTCGCCTTGCTGGGGGTCTTTGTTTCGCAATGTGTATTTTTAAAAAATATGTTTCTATTGATTTAAAGAGAGAGGAAGGGAGAGGGAGAGAGAGAGAGACATTGGTACACCCCCTACCAGGGCTCGAGCCTGCAACCTGGGCATGCGCCCCGACCGGGAATTGAGCTGGCAACCTTTTGGTGCCTGAGACGACGCTCCACCAACTGAGCCACACCGGTCAGGGCCACAATGAGTATTTTTGGGCCAAGCACTGTTCAGGCCCTTGAGAGGTTTTAGGAGGCAGCCGGGGTGGTAGCAGCCGGGGAAAGGGCCACTGAGGCCTTTGAGAAGCTGTCTGAGAAAGTGGGATTTCTTGGTCGGCGCTGAGTTCCAGGACCCACACTAGCGTATTAGGCTGTTGCTGAATATCGTATTTCAAAGAGCAAGCGTTGAGGGAGGGTGGAAGAGCAGCACTTCTATGCGGCCCAGCCAAACCCTACCCTGGGGGGGACCCACTCCAAGCCTACACAGATGCCCAAGTGCCTACCCCGTGGGTGGACATCCTGAGAACCTCTCTGGCAGGTGCGTGGGCTCTCCTGGGCTTTGTGCTCTGCAGAGTCCAAACAACCTGTCCCCTTAGTCCACGGGTGTCACCGATGAGAGAGGACACTGCTGCTCCCTTTGAACTTGTTTGTGTCTCAGTGCCTTTATCTTCAGGATGCAATCCTTTGTCTGCCTCAGAGGGTTGTCGAGAAAACCCGGGTGACCATGTTTGCGAGAAGTGCTTTGCAAGCTGCAAAGTGCTGAATAAACACGACTTATCCATGTTAGGATGCTTTGCTGGATTTCACAAAGGAATAAATGCGAGCGTCCTGCCCCTCAGTCTAGGAAGGATGTCCCACATCCACCTGCCGCCCTTCACAGAGTCAGATGCCCCAGGCCCCGGCCAGCTGTGCCCACCTCTGCCCTGAATCTGTCTCTCTGACCCTCCTCCCTCTTCTGTGCAGGCTCCTTCCCTCTCTGTCCCTTTGCTATCAATGTTCCCAAGGCCTCGCTCCCCACCCCCTTGTCTTCTCACTCATGGCACACGGCCATGAGCACCTCTGGGTCCCTGCGATAGAAAAGGGCTCCTCACCCTCCTGTGCCCCTAATTCTAAGACAGAGGCAAGGAAGGGGTTCCAGACTCCCCTTCCGTTGCCTGCCTCCGCCTGCTGAGTTCGCCTTCTCAGAGCCTCTGGCCCTGAGTGCAGATCCTACAGATCTTGCTTCCAGACCACTTGGGAGCTGTCAGCTGGCCAGTCCGCCCTGTGTGTTTTCCGAGTTGACTCATTTCATCGCTCCCCTGGGGAAAGCTGTTGTTCTCAGGTTGAAACCATGTACCCCAGCCCTCAGCCTGGCTCCTCCCAGACCACACCTTGGAGGACTCACGCCTCCTCCAACACACCTTGCTCTCTCCCTTCACCGCCATTGAATATGCTGCTCCCTCTGTTTGGAAAACCCATTGCTTCATCCTCATGCAGTCAGTCACCTCCTACGGGAAGCTCTCCTTGCTTTGTTCAGCCTTGTTGTCACTTGTCCTGGACACACGGGGATGGTTGCACTGTGCTATTTTGTACATATACTTGGTTTTCCCTCCATTTGACTTTTGGTTTCCTAACAAGTATGTCTTTTTAAAAAATTTCTGCGTCCTGCCACCTGGCATAGCACCTGACATAAGCTCGATTTCCCAGGGACCTGCGCTGTCTGTTTTTGCTGGGCTAGCCCCTGCTTCTAGCACACACAGATGGTGCTCAATAGCTATGTACTGATTGAGGAAATAAGCTTAATAATTGTTGGCTGAAATTAATGAGTGAATGAATAGATTGTCCAGGTCGGTGCAAGGTTCGCAAATCCCAGGCACCTTGCATTTTCCCTGAGCTTACGTATCTTCACATCAGGAAATGAGGACGGGGTCTCCCTCTGGGACCCCGAGTCCTGGGTCTACAGGAGCGTCGCCAGCTGGCTGCCGATTTAGTTGGAGCGGAGCTGAGCTGGAGCGTGGGTGGGGACCGCGCGAGGCGTCCCGCCCAGGACTTACTTTGCTCTTGCCCCGTGTGCCTTTAGAGACATGCACGATGGCCCCGACGCAAAGAATAAACTGCGGCTACCCGGGGGTCACTCCTTCCGAGTGTGCAGAGAAGGGCTGCTGTTTCGACAACAGCGTCATCGGGCACCCGTGGTGCTTCTATCCTTTGAACACCCCCCCCGAAGGTACGTCCATGACAGGGCTGTGGGCGCGGACGGAGTAGAATTAGTGAGAAAAACTGCGTGGGACCTCTGGGCTCCGGCCCATGTCACCAGCTGCATTTCCCCCCGGGATGGTGGCCACGGGGATAGCGGCCACCGGGATGGTGGCCACGGGGTGCCTGTGGAGAAACGGTTTAGCCTCGATCAGGCTGAATTCAGGGCTGGGGGCGGAAAGGCGGGGCTGAAAGACCATTTGGGGTGGACCCCTGGCTTTTTCCTGGCCTTTCTTCACATGTGTAACCAGACGTGGTGAAGAATCATTCTCGCGATGCTTAGCCGCTCGCCTGGGGTGGGAGCGAGAGGAATCGCAGGAGCCGGCCCCTGTTCCCTAAAGGAGCTCCCCGTGGGTGCTGGCCCGGCAGAGCCCTGTAACCATTTAAAAGTGAAAGAACACCCTTATTCTCACAAACACATCTCTTCCCTCCCCCCCCTTTTAGAGGAATGCTAGTTTCAGCTGCTCTCCCTCCCGGTGGGAGTCACGTCTGGACCTAGAATGGACCCCCCGTCCCCCGAACCGGGGCCGCAGCGCAGCCCCCCCACGACCCGCACCCCCAGCTCCTGCGCCTGAGCCTCGGCTCACTGCAAGGATGGACTGCTTCGATTATCCGTGCTCAAAACTGACCTAAAAATTAAAAGAGATGAATGCTACTTTGTGCTTTTAGTTCTTTTAAAAAATAAAAACGATTTCCCTTCCTTTCAAAGAGAAGCGCCGTGCTCGCTCCCCTCTGGTTTCTCGTCACGGATTGTACAGTAATTCACACGATCCCAGGCGAGGTGCGGGGTAGCTGAGGGGACGAAGGGACCGCGGGGTTGGAGACGTTGACTCGGTAGCTATTTGTAGCCGGGGTCCACGCTCGAGGCCATTCGCTGCAGACCTTTCAAGAAGCAACCCCCAGCCACACCCTTGTCAAGTCACGAAAATAGGCACCAAACTCTACTACGGCTCTTGCCAAGTTCACTGCGGGTGGCCCACTGCCAGGTAGCAGAAAGTGCCTTTCAATGTCTTCCCTTCCCCCAGGTGGGAACTGGCTCAGGAGGCAAAACCCACAGCAGAGTCTGACAGTGTCAACAATAAAAATCGCAGAGCCGACATGAGTTGACATCTTAGAGAGCGTTGCTGTGAGGGCTGACGCTTTAGAATTAGCAAGAACCCCCCTCCCAAAGGGAGGAAAACAAAGACCAAGTGTCACCTTATTAATGACACAGGCAAAACGGAAGGACAGGGGGCCAGTTGGACCTGCCAGCTACACCATGGCGTTGAACAGAGCCCCACCCAGGCCCGCGGTGTGGACAGAGCAGCCCTGGGTGCCCCGGCCCCCGCAGCACTGCAGGGAGAGGCCACCCGCCCCGGGAGCTCAGCTAAGCAAGCCCATCGCTCCCCGCATTGGCGCCTCCTCTCAGGGGCCCTTGCGCTGGGCACAACCTGGACAACTGTGGGTGAGGTCGCCGGAGCAGTGGGGCGCTCCCGCCTCCACAGCCAGCTGCTCCCCAGGGGGCAGGAGGGGCGCTGAGCTTTGTGGGAACAGTGCTTTCCAAATTGGCCAGTCAGACCCATCACTCCCCTAACCCTTGGCCACCAGGACAAGCACCTACAGGGGCCCCCGGGGCCAGGAGTATGGTGCATGGGCTGGGATGGGAACCCCGGCACGTGCAAAGGCTGCACACACGTGTGTGCAGTTGTGTGTTGTCTTCTGTGTACTGTGGGGATCACCCGGGCTTTTCCTCTCTGGAGAATGTACAGAGGAGTTTTCGCTCCTCTTTTGTGTTCATAGCATATCTGACCTCTCTCAGCCTCTGCCTGCTAGTTCGAGGTAAAGGGAAACTAACTTTGTTAAGTCCAGTTCCTTTTGGGATGCAGTGCCTGCTAGTCGCAGCCTCTGGAGGTAATAGGCCCTGGGGATGAACCGCTCAGTCTCCCTTGCCCCCCCTTTCTGATCCTCACCCCATTTTGTAACTGAGGCCAAGGTGCTCACAGGCGCTTAAGGACCTGCCCAGCGAGCAGACCCACCGACTAACAGGCTTGGCTCCCTCTTGAGTCAGAGATTCACCCAGGATCCAGGTTTACTAATAATTTCAAAAATGCAATCTAGAGGAAGCCAAGGGAGGGGCCTGGGACACAAGGACAACACCCCATATTGTCCCTTCCTGTGGCTCTGAAGCACACATGAGGCTCCTGGTGGGGCTCATAGGGCAGGGCCTCTCACTGGGGGTCATCTCCCTTTGCTCACATGGAGAGATGTGTGAGTGAAGTGTCACTTTCTCGGGCGCCATGACACAGATTGGGAACTCCTTGACTCTAAGGCCTCCTGTGACCAGGGACATCCAGCAGTGAGTGCCGTCCTCCTGGCCAATGCTTCAGACTCTGGGCCTGGAGGCCAGGTGGCCAGGAGACTGATTCGGTGGGTTCCCTACCTTCTTTTGGTTTCCCTGGACTCTGGCCCAGGGAAGGGACTGAATGGACACAGGANGTGCTTCAGACTCTGGGCCTGGAGGCCAGGTGGCCAGGAGACTGATTCGGTGGGTTCCCTACCTTCCTTTGGTTTCCCTGGACTCCGGCCCAGGGAAGGGACTGAATGGACAGAGGGCTGGCGGCCTCAGCCCCTTTCCCCATCAGGCTACACAGAAAGAATCCGAGGCCCACAATCCACGCCCACCTCCTCTGGTGTCCACCTCCAGAGTGTGACATAATGTGGCTCTACCATCTGGACGCCAGGCCTCCCGTGGAGGAGAGAGACTGGGGATTCCTGCAGGGAAGTCCCTGCCTCAGCACAAGGAGATGGGACACACATCCTTCTGTCCCATCATTGGCCAGCTCCCTGCACAGGACTCAGAGGTGGGTGCAAAAGAAGATGTGGCTTGATCCCTGCCACAGTGTCCTTACAGAAACTCACAAAAATTCAGAAGAATTCCAACAGGGGGATGCAGCTGATGGGAGGGGGAGAAAACTCTGGAGGCAGAGCTCAGAGTAAGGGGGAGCTGACAGAGCGGCGCTGCGGGAGTGTGCCCCGCCCGCCGGGTCATGGACGCCGAGATGCTCGGCAGGATGCTAGGACCACGCCTGCACTGCCCTCCTTGGGCCGCCCACACATGTCCAGTGGGCCTACAGTACTCACTCACGTTTTGGGGGTCAGTGGGAGCTGCTGAGTTCTGGGTGCGGTGACAGCTGGGGTAGTGTGCGGATGCAGGAACTGGGCCCAACCCCTTGGGCACTGGGTGACATGCCACTCCCTTCCCGTGGTCAGAGCCAGGTGGGTGAGATAAGAGAGGAGGAGTCTGGGAAGAAAACCCCAAAAGGCCACAGAAGAGTGAAATGTTTCCTCCTCATGCCAGGACCTGCCCGGAGCCAACCTCGCCCATGGCAGCCCCTCACCCACGGCACCCCACCCCTTCAATGCCCATGGTGCTGATCATCTCTGGCGGGGGTACCTGGGTGGGGGTGTTTGGTACCCCACCACATTCCTAACCATGCCTCTCTACAGCCATGAGCACACGGGCAGGGGAGGTGGGGAGAAGGGGCAGAATTGATGTCTTAAGGAAGCAATGGCAGCTTCTCTGGGTCACTGCAGAGTCCTTGAGGCGCACAGAAGGCTGGTGGGAAAAAGACAAGCTGTGGCGATAAGGCGCCTTAGTAAGAACAGTGCTACTGATAAGGCCCAGGAGCAGTTAACAGCTTGGGGAACATATCACACACATACACATGCACACAATTACACATGCATGCACACACATGCACGCACGCACATACACACCACATATATGCATGCACACATATCCCATGCACACACACGCACATGCACACACAGATGCACACACACATGTACACATAACCCCTAAAAGGACCTGAGCCCCTCAGCTCCCCTCAACCTTGGAAACCAGGGAAGATGGGAGCAGGTCCTGACTCCCGAGGCTAGTGGTGCTCCTCCCTGGGGTTCCACTGACACCCTGAACCCACATCACAACCTCCGCTTTTCTTCAACGCGAGTCGGCGGGTTAGTCAGTGTGGGGGCCGCCTCACAGGCTGTGCGCTGACACCATGGAAGCTCACTCTCTCGCAGTTCTAGAGGCAGAAGTCCGAGATCGAGGTGTCAGAGGGGCTGGTTCCTGAGAGGCCTCTTTCCAGTTTGTGGATGGCTGTCTTCTCCACGGCCTCACATGGTTGTCCCTCTGTGTGTATCCGTGTCCTAATCTCCTCCTTCTGTTAGGGACACCAGTCCTATTCGATTCAGACCCACCCTAAAGGTTTCAGTTTAAGTTAATTACCTTTCTAAAGACCTTATCTCTACCTACGGTTGCATTCTGAAATAGTGGGGGTTAGGACTTCAACCTACGAATTTGAGGGCGAGGCAATTCAGCCCAAAACAGCGTGTCTGTTACCTGCAACCAAAGAGCCCTGCAAATTACCAGCATGCAGGTGTCACGATGGTCTGCTGTTACTTGAGACCAGTCAATTCTGCTGTCCGTGGCGAGAGGACAAATGGATTACATGCAGCTGAAAAGGTGTCAGGTACAGGAAGCGGGAAACTAGCTTCTGAGGTGCAGGTGACAGTAACCTGTAGGCTGTTACCTGATCAAAAGGATGGAGTGAGCAGAAATGTTATCGTGGGTGGGAGGCAATGAAGAGACACATCAGAAGTAGACAGTGTATGTCCAGGGTGACAGCTCTGCCGTCCCTGAACCGGACACTCATCGATGACCCCCATCATGGCCCCATTTGGGCCCCAGATGTCAGCCCAGAAACAGACTGACAGCAGGACTGCTCTGTGCGTCATTGTGGGCCACTGTGGGTCACTGCAGGCCACAGCTGGGCCAGCAGTGCCAGGTCTGAGACTCCTCAATAAAGCCTGAGCGTGTGTGGTGGCCCCAGGCACGGTCCATGGCCTGGCCCCCTTGCTCAAACCCACTTTTCGCCCTTGTCACCATGTATTTCTGGAAAGGCCAAGAGGGGGACGGGACAGGATGCCTCATGACCCAGGGTTCGGGTGAGAGGTCATTCCACCCACCGGCACCCACGAGGAGTGCTGCCTGCCCCAGCTTTTCACCACGGGTTGTCGATTGAGTTCATAAACTCTGTGGCCTGAGCGCCTTAGTTGGATCCGTGAGCTTGTTTGTTCTGCAGCTGATAGTGTACTCGGAGGTTACCGTCGCTCTAGATAAGTTCCCACACAATAGGGTTCTGTTCAGACAGTGTTGAACTAGAGACCAGGCCAGGAACCGATTCTCGAAGCCAAGTTGTGGCTTAAGATCATATTTGCAGGGTCATTGAGAAGGATATTGTT